ATAGCTTTAATATAGGCGCTTTAGTTAAATCTATAATTAATAAAGTACTAGAAATAGAACTATTACTAGTAATCTATACGGATTCGAAGTCGTTATACGAATGCCTTATTAAATTGGGAACTATTTGAGAAAAGTGTCTAATAATTAATATAATATGCCTCTGCTAGGTATATAAATAATAAGAGATTATAGAAGTTAAATGGATTAAGGGAGAATTAAATCCTGCCGATTCTATAATGAAATCGAAGCCAATAAATGCCCTCAAGTATCTAATTAATATAAATACTATATAATTAGATATAGAGGAATAGGTCGAGTATGGATAGGGCAAGAAATAGATATATAGGATAGGAGGATATTATAGAAAGGGAAGTTATATATAAAAGGCTATAGCCTTTAGTATATAACTAAAACCTCGGAAGTAATATAGATATATAGAGTATTTGGGAAATCTAGTACTAGGCCGGATTAGGGAATTTATATATAATTAGAGAGAAATACTATTTTTTGTATTTTTAGAGAGTTTCTAGTATTAGTATAGCTATTTCTTTAGGAATTACGTATATAGTTACGAGATACGAGATACGGGATATAGGTAATAGGATATAGGTAATGGGATATAGGATACGGGATATAGTTATATAACCTTGTATCCCATTAGTAACTCGACTAGTAAACTAGATTCCTTTAGGCTTAGCAGATTTAGGGATTATATATTAATACTATAATACTATAATTACTATTTCTAGATAATAATAACTTTACTAACTATATATAAATAGTATTCTATAACTTATATAATAGTGTTATATATTACTAGTAAACTAATAATAATAATAATATTATCTTTTATTTAACTTTTATAAAGCCCTTTTATATAAGAAATATTAAGATTATTATTAATAGCTTTAAACCTGAATTTATTTCCGAATTTTATAATAAAACTTAAAATAATACAGATATAATTTCTTTTATTATTCCTGCTATTTTACTAAAATATAATAAAGAATACTCTTATAAGATTCCGGATATTATAGTATTTTTATAGAATAATAATCTATATAAGAATTCCTATTAAATTAAAATTATTAGTCTTTTAAAAAAGAATATATTTAAAATTATTTCTAAATTTCAAATACTAATTTTTTTTAATTCCCGGTTTATTAATAAAATTAAGAATAAAAAAAAATAAAAAAAGAATTTAAAAAATAAAAAAAGAATTTAAAAAATAAAAAAAGAATTTAAAAAATAAAAAAAGAATTTAAAAAATCGAAACTAGTTATCTAAACTTATAATAATAATAAGAAATATATAATATTAATATAATTATTTATTATTTAATATATTAGCTAGAGAACTATTTTTAATATTATTATTATTATAATAATAAATACTATAAAATTATATTTATATAATATTTTATAAACTTATTAAATAGCTAAATCTAAATAATAATTCGGTTTTAAAAATTATAAAACTATTATATAATATATTAGAAACCAGGAATTATTAGTTTAAAACTTATTATTTTTATTATATTAATAAGTTTTCTATAAAATAATTAATTTATAACTTTTACTTTTTTTATAATAAATAACTTTTTAGAATTATTAGCCTTTAAACTAATAATTTTATGAAAACAAAATAAATAAAGTATTAAAAAGCTAAGTTTTTAGCTAAAAAAATATAAATACTTTATTTTTAATTATAATTTTAAGTTTAATAGAGATATTATTTATATAAATATTACTAGAATTACTTTTATATAAGAATATTAATATAAAAATCTTTAAACTATTTCTATAAATATTATTATTATTATAAATAATAAAGATATTATTTATTAAAATCTTTTTTTTAAGAATTAATATATATATTATATTAGTTTATTAACTAGAAGCTTTATATAATCTATTAATTACTATTTAAATTATTAAATTCTCGGAAACTAATATAAAAGTATTTAATAAATATATTTAATAGTAAATTAAGAATATTATTAGAAGATTAAGATTTATAAAACTAGTAAAAAAGTTCTTATATTTAATTATTTTTACAAATACTATATTTATAAATAATAGAAATTTCTTTTTCTAAATTAGATATATTTTAGTTTTAGTAAATAGAACTAGATATACTAATATTATTTACTAGTTTTCTATTAAATATAAAAGAATTACTAAAACTATTTTGGTTTTAGAACTTTATAATATAGCTTATAATTTTAATATAAGTATTTTAGTTAAATTTATAATTAATAAAATACTAGAAATAGAACTATTATTAGTTATTTATATAAATTCGAAATTATTATATAAATATTTTATTAAATTAGATATTATTTAAAAGGAATATCTAATAATTAATATAATATATTTTTACTAAATATATAAATAAAAAGAAATTATAAAAGTTAAATAAATTTAAAAAAAAATCGAATTTTATTAATTCTATAATAAAATTAAAACTATTAAATATTCTTAAATACTTTATTAATATAAATATTATATAATTAAATATAAAGAAATAAATTCAATATAAATAAAATATAAAATAAATATATAAAATAAGAGAATATATATAAAGATTTCTTTAATAAAAGTATCTAGATATCTAAATATTTAAATATCTAATACTAGGCCGAATTAGGAAATTAAATATCTAAATATCTAGATATCTGAGTATCTAATATTTGACCGGATTAGGTAATTAATATATAATTAGAAAGAAATACTATTTTTTATATTTTTTTTAAAAGATTCTAATATTAATATAGCTATTTCTTTAAAAGTTATATATATAATTACAAGATTCGAAAAACGAAATATAAATAATAAGATATAAATAATAGAATATAAAATACAAGATATAATTATATAACTTTATATTCTATAAATAATTTAACTAATAACTAATTTCTATTAGGCTTAATAGATTTAGAAATTATATATTAATATTATAATATTATAATTCTTATTTCTAAATATTAATTACTTTACTAATTTAATATAACTAGTATTTTTATATTTATATAATAGTATTATATATTTCTAGTAAACTAATATTTATTATTAAATAAATATATTATTTAGTTTATTATAATATATAAAAATTAGACTTATATTATAATTAGCTAAATTAAAAAACCATAATATTTATTATAAATAAATATATCTAATTATAGTTATATAATTATTATATATAATAATTATTTCTTTTTTATTAAATAATATTCCGGAATACTAGAGAAATACTTTAAATAAAATAAACTATTTATATTTTAAGTTCTAAACTTTTTTCTAAAAATTATAATTTTACAAATTTCAATTATATATAATTAATTAAAAGATTCTTTTTAGTTCTATAAAAGGTTTTTAATATTTCTAAAGCTATTTTTAAAACTAGAAAAAATTAAAAAAAGGCTCTAAACTAATTTTATTAGTAGAAATATATATATATTCTAATTATTTAATAGATTAAAATAATAAATACTTTTATAATATATAAGAATTAGGCTTATATTATAGCTAGCTAAACTAAAAGACTATATAGTATTTATTATAAATAAATATATCTAATTATAATTAAATAGCTAGATTATAATTATATAATTATTATATATTATTAAATTATTAAAACTTCTTTAAAGAAAAGTATTATATAATAACTATAGGCTAGTTACGTATATATGGCTTACGTAACTATATATACTATTTTTAACTCTGGCTATTTATATTATATTTCTCTTTTTTTTTTATCTAAATATATTAAAATATAATTATATTTAATATAATAAAAAGTCTCAAATTAAAGAGTTTATTATAAAGCGAAAATATAAGGCTATATTTTTATTAAAATTTTATTATAAAACTAATTTAATTAAAATATATTAGAAATATAGTAAAACTCGATATTATTAAATAAAGAAAACTAGTTTTTCAAATATTAAAGCTAAGGTAATAAAGGCATTTAAAGCTTATTTAATTAAAATGATATAAAAGTTTTATAATTATATATTTTACTAAATAAATATAAAAAAAAGTAAAAATGCTATAGAATAATATTTAAAAAGGTAATAAATAAATAAAATAATATATAAAAGCAAAAAAGAAAAAGTAGCTAAATAATAAGTAAAGTTTATAAAATTAGTTTCGCTAAAATTAGCTTGAATTTTATATATTAGAGCTCTATTATATATATAATATATAGTATTAGGAAAAGCTATATTTAATATTTAGAAAGAGGTTTTCAAGCTTATAAGGCTTAAATATTAATATTATATTAATAATAAGGCTAGTAAGATACTATAATATTCCCTTAAAGTACGGGCTTATATAATCTTAGCAAGCAAATATATTCGCGTTTTATATAAGAAAAAATCAAAAAGTAAAAAGGGTTCGTATACTTTAAGCCTCAATTATTAATAAACCACAAATCGTATTAAAATCTGATTAATAGGTATTTTTCGCCTGGCTCTATTCTATAATCACAATACTTAGTATAAATTAATTGGGGTTATAGTTAAAAAGTTATTATGGGCGTAAAAGAGCGACAGTTTTGTTGCTTTTGGATCGGACCGACTGTAGTGCATATTGCTTGATAGCAATCTGGAAAAATTCTTACCGCTATGCAAGTAGCCTGAGACCGATATTGGACACGATCCAGTGCTGCAGAGAGTTTGAATATAGTACCCGAAAAACTGGAGTTGCAAGTGATCAAAACGAGCAAGAGGGTGCTCTACTCGGACCATCCCGCTGACAGCAAGCGTTTGTGCAAGGAGAAATGCAGCTAGAAATTCGCGAAGTATTCAATGCTGAAGTTGATGACTCTAGCGACTGTATTTCGTTATCCATTTTAGAACGTTAAGTGAAGCTGAATGCCAGTAACAGTTTCAAAATTATGCAAGAGGTCGTTGCACATTGTTCCCGAGGTCGGACGCATCTCGGAGCTAATTGGCATCCCGGCCTCACTTGAGCAAACCCACGCGCTTCCCTTGGGCTCTCTGTTGCACAAGATCTTTACTCATCAAAGATGAAAGATGAATGAAGCCCTTCAAACCCTTGGCGGATCTGCGCATCGGAGCCCGGAGCCAAAGAAGCAGGAGCTAACTGGTTCCGTCCAAGTTGGGGAAGTCCGAGACATCCCTTCGCATCGCAAGACCGAGTGCAAACACGCACATACAATCCGGAGACCTCCAAGTCCTTGCCATGATACGAGCACCTGGCCCGTCGGTGTTCGTTAAGCTGGAGCTAGGATGACGTCTCAAGATGGGGCTCTCATAAAGAGAGTAGACCCCGCACTGGTGGTCGCTGAAGCCGCCTAAATTTGTGAGCTCCAAAGTTGTGGTTTTGAATATTTTTCGTGTGGTACAGTGAAGAATCAATTGAAAATATTAAAAGATGCAAGGACTATGGAGAGGTTTGGGACTGGGATTGGGGAAGACGAAGTTTGTAGAGGACGGTGGTGGTGAGGCGGAGCAGAAAAAAGAAGTGAGAAGCTGGAGGATAGGAAAGGAAGCGTATGAGAAGAAGATGGTGCATCATCAGGGCATTAAGCAGCTTTGGGAGTCGAAGTGGAAATTTCCGGTCAGTTACTAAAAGTGGAAGAGCACTGAGAATGGAGAATCTGACGGTGTTGCGATAGTGCTCGATCTCGGTATATCCATTCCACGATGGAAAATTCGAGGATTTTGAGCCTGTGTTCCAGGATCTGATCAAGGTGAGTGACTCTCTCGCATGCGTGAGAAAAAGCAACTGACACGAAAGGCAGAGGAATATCAACGACGGGACCAGCGCAGAATACACCAAAGCATTCTTCCCCATCGCTGCATCTCTCACGTCCAAGGGCGACGAAATCCTCACCTCCAACCCAAAACAAGCTAGTGACCTCTACCTCCGCGCCGCTTGCCTCTACCGCATTGCTCGATTCCCGTACATTTCCGCATTCCCAACCGTGAACGATGACACGAAATGGGAAGCATGGACTCTCCAAAAAGCCGTGTATCTCAAGGCCGCCAAGACTTGGGAGCAGCCTGTAACTGAGGTTATGATTCCCCATACGCATAAATCGGGTGAAGACCGTTCCGAGATCCCGGCGTATGCGAGATTCCCGAAGCAAGAAAGGAAAGGGAAGGTCCCTGCCGTGCTGCTAATGACAGGTCTTGATGGATATCGACCGGATAACACGCAACGGAGCGAAGAGTTCATTAATCGTGGATGGGCGGCAGTCATCGTTGAGATTCCTGGTACAGCAGATTGCCCTGCAGATCCTAAGGATCCGGAAAGCAGCGAGAGGTTGTGGGATAGCGTTTTGGGCTGGATGGAGAAAGATAGGAGGTTTGATATGGGGAAGGTTTTGGTATGGGGGCTGAGTTCCGGTGGGTATCATGCTGTGAGGATCGCGCATACGCATAAAGAGCGATTAAAGGGAGTGATTGCGCAGGGTGCGGGGGTGCACGAGTTTTTTGACAAGGAGTGGATTGAAAAGGCGGACGGTCACGAATATCCTTTCTTGTGAGTTGCCCTTCAGTTTTTCTCCGGATTCAAGTTAAGTGTGGATTTTTAGATTGAGTCCGGCGATGGCTTTGAAGCATGGATATACGAATGTCGAGGCCTATAAGAACGGAGTGCAGAAGAAGTTCTCGTTGCTAAAATTAGGAATCCTCGAGAAGCCGTCGACAAGACTTCTGTTGATCAACGTGAGTATTACCGCTCTGGACAACGTCAGCTGGACTCACGAGGTGCAGGGGACCCACGACGGCTTGATGCCAATTGAAGACTCGATACTGCTGTTTGATCATGGAACACCCAAGGAAGCAAGGTGAGAGACGTTTTATTCACGGGAACATACCGATGTTGACTGGAACAGGTTCTTCGATAAAGCCCTGCATATGGGATATCCCATGGCCAATGCATCCGTGTACCCGTGGATGGAGAGCGTAATGGCGAGCTGATAGAACAGGTCACGTGTGACAGCACATTGGGCATAAATCATCACCTCAATTTCTGCAGAATATATGCTATCTGAAAACGGCCCCTTATGAAGGAAGCCAGTGATCCAATGCGTTGCGGAACAACACCCCAAAAGAGCTCCATCTAACCAATTGTCCATCGGTGCGTAAAGTTAACATTGCCGAGGAGGGGCCACGGCTCGGTGAGAAGTTGTCAGCAAAGAAGCGAATCAAGCTAGACTGGAAGAAGAAAAGGGGGCGATCGCAGCTAAAGCCCGTTTCGCAACCCTTGAATACTAGTATTTGTTAGTATTCGAACACCAGCTTTTATTTGTTATAAAAAGGAGTATTTCGCATATTCATATTACTAGTTTGGGGCAGGGAAATAGCAATATTCAACGAATTTATGATCCGACATGTCTTTTATCACATTTTGCATTTTGTTGAGCTCTTGGATCATCCCCCGCTGGCTTTGATTGGCCACTAGATTTAATGTCGTACTTCCCTGCGAGTCCTGAGGACCATGCACCGCTAACAATGATCTTCAACCTCTCAAACTTTGCGTTTCCCAACCCGACGTCCATCTCAATAAATGCTTCGTTCAGCGCCTCAGCATTCGCATAAGATGCGAAAATTAGAAGTGGGCCCTACTCGTATGGCCGCGGGTGCGCACAGGCATTCCTGACGTTCGCACAAGTCTCCCCTTCAAAGCGCCAGAAGCTCACATCTCTGCTCATATTTCAAGAACGAAGATGTCCGTCCTAAATACCTAATTGCCTACTCGATATAGACCACTTTAGGCCGAGAATCAAATTCTACCATAGCCTCACCGTCCATAAATCCTAACAAGAAGCAATCCCCAATTAGCTTGTATCTGCTAATTTGGCCCACTGATCTTAAAACAGGTGGACAACAGCTCCATTTTAAGGCGTATACCTCATCTCCCACCTCCATTCTAGCAGGTCCAATTCCAGAACGGCCATCTTTAGTAATGAAGAACCTTCGCAGAAGCGTGGCAGTTTTCAGAGCTACGTAAATCTTATCAGTATCCACCGGCCAACCAGTGCCATTGGTAATATGCGTTAATAAACCTTCGTATTCCTTGAAATCGGCTTCGGAGGCTCTCCGAAGGGAGGTCACTTTGCGGTCTGCACTTTCTCCTATTGTATCCATGAGAATGGTGCTCCAGAAGGCAGCTCTTGTTTTCTCTCTTTCTACGAAGCAGCTAGCTTTTGCGAGGCCAGCCCAATCCTTTGGGATGCTCTGGGCTTTTCCTTACTTCCCTTGCTTCCCTTATTTCCCTTGCTTCCGCGGCCCACTTCTGCGTGTCTCTCGCTTCCAACATTTGTCACAACACCACAGCATACTCCACACACTCTCAGGACATAGCTCCCAGACATTTTGACGAATTCGGGCTGACTGGATTGGTTCCAACAGGCGTTATACAAGCAGCACCGATCCAGACGCCCTTTCTGTCATCTCGGCTCAGGCGTGTCCAGTGTCCAGTCAGGAACCCATGAGGGTAGTGTGGCCTCAAATTGCGAATTCTTGGCCGACCATAGAACGTACTTTAGAGCTTCAAAAGATCCAATCTGGTTGATGTGTTCCATACATAGATTGGTATATGCATCTTCTACACTCCTTTTGTAATCGGGCTTAATGAGACTTCGACCATTTAGGTTCACTAAGCTGTGCAGACCGAATATTTTATCGTGTGCTTGCGACGCCTAGCAGTTGCGATAAAAATGAAGACACGTAAGAATCTCTGATTTCTGTGAGTCTATTTTCTTGTTTCTTTCAATTGTCGAAACTGCACGGAAAAACTTGTTAACGTCTTCCAAATATTCATTTGCGGTATCATTGTGCGAGATACAGCATGACACATAGCTATCGTATATCTTTTCCATAAGCATAACTTGAGAAACCTTCTCCTCGTCGTCATTCTGGTTGATACATGGGGCGTCAATCCATAGAATTCTGGCTTCTTTCTTGTCTCTCAGTGCATACAGAGCAGCAGAGAGATTTCTCCTGACGGTTGTGTCATGGCCAAATAAGTAAATGGTGGGCTCCTGGATGTCGCGCAGCCCCTACACGTACGAGAGAGCCTCGTAATATAGGTCGTAGGAAAAAAGTGAAGCCACAGAAAGAGAGGCAATAATTGGGGAAGACGGAGACTGCGAGGGATCTAGTTTGAGTAGTCGGATTTCTTTTCGCAAATGCAAAGATCTGTATAAAGAGGGCGCGATCCGAGCAAGGAGTGAGAAGCCGCCCTGGCAGATTCAGGACGGTTCGACTTTCAAGATTGTGGCTTCTTGAGTTTGCTGAGAGAATGTAGCTTTATTTTGAAGAGAAGAGTCAAGATGTTTCGGTGAGGTTGATTATGTCTGGGGAAAAAGAGGGAGCAGTGCATTGTGGCGTTGGGCAGCAATAGTAACAAAAGAAATTCATTAGCACAGCATCAATCTGTCACAGCTTCAACCCTTTATAATTCCGAAAAGATCCACCCAGAGCCTCACATAATTTAGTAATCATACAATGACAGAAGTTGAGCACAACAACCCTACAAAGAAGCACGCCATGGTGGATAATGCGATAGCTCATTACTTCGCTCGAGTTGTGGTGGTCGTCACAACTGTCACCCAAATCGGCATCCAGGCCCCTCGGGACATCTTAGGAATTGCGCCAGGAAGTGTGGAGTTTGCTGCGGTTTGCGAGCGGCCCGTTTCCTTGACTGCGAGAATTGACAGACTTACAGACATTGTTAACGCTGGAGCTCGGAGTGATTCTCATTCTTTAGTTGCCAACTAGCCATCATACTAATTCTGGGAGTTCTAAAGCTTATCTCTACTAATACTGGGACCTTAATAGGCTAGGGGCACGCAGTCACGCGCCGAAGGCGGAAGGGGCATGACTGCGAGCGGAGCTGCATTCACGTGCCGAGTAAGCTAAGTCGTACGTGCCTTGAGGATATACTTCTTAAGCGATTATAAGGGGCGAGGGAAGGACGTGCTTCTTGCCCGCCTTTTGTGCGCGTACCGGGGGCTAAAGAATAGCCGAAAAACAAAGCCCTACTTATAATAAAATAATAAAATTTAGCCTTCTAAGCGTGGGGGAAGTGGGCTAGAAGGGAATAAAAATCTCAATTGCATAACCACCCTTCTAGGGCTACCCTGAAAGGGTGCTTATATGTATCCTAATTAGAGTTGGCCTCCGGTTTTACCCCTTTGGGCGGACAATCCTGGTTTGGGGATGCTACGCGAGAAGAACAGGGGCGTTTGCAGGGGTTGGCAGGGGCACACTGATTTAATATGTATAATTTGCTGGCATGGTCGGCCTAAGTCAATTTGGTATATGTCTTCCAGAGTGTCTCCCAGATAAGAGAAGCTTGGGGATGGCGCCGTCGAAGGCTCCTCCAAAATGGTTGGTTTTGGAACTTTTGGTTCAAGAAATAAAGGATTTCAATGATAGATCGAGATTCGAGACTTCGTCCAGGATCACTATCTGCTTGTACCGCGCAATTATGGCTGGAGTTATGGAGCAGTAGCGCTTATGGACACCTTTTGCTACGCGTTCTGGGTTCCGGCTATCTCCGTTCCAGGTTATATCGAGTGGAACTTGAGCAAGGCTTTTGCATGTATTGCTCACGTTGCTATTTTCAACAGCGCACAACTACGATTCTGGTTGTCGAAACTGGTGCCTCACCTAATTTTGGCTACAATCAGCTTGTAAAGCTTAGAGCCTCTACCTTGGTGGCAGCAATGCTGATGCAGAAGTAGTGTTATTTTCACTATGATATTCATCAGTTCATGGAAAATTCTATTCTGGCCGTATGCTTGGCGGCAAGTAGATAAGCAAAGACGGTTTGACATACCGCTTCCAACAGGTCGGCGATCAGAGTTATCCGATTCAAACGACTTATCCTCGAACGCCAGTTTATACGATAATACGAGTCTACGCGGTTTTGTGGGTTGATGTCTGGTTGACGGGGTGGAGAACTTTGGGGAGGAGGCGATAGTTTTCAAGTTGTATCTATGTAGTAATACAGGTAGGGGGTGCTGTTTGTTGTACGATGACGCTCGACGAGTTGGGCGGTTGTGTTACCCGCGTTTGGTTAAATCCTCACTTCGTTTACTCCTAAAAGGAAAGATGCTGGGTAGACCTTAATAAATAGTGTTCAAATATAGTTTATTTATTTATACTAGCCAATACATAGTGTGGACCAGATTCCGATTATAGTGTGCTATTCGTCTAATATTTATTGACTCATTTCCCCGCTCCTCGTTTTGTTACCTGAACATAAAATTCTCTGTGCACAATAATCCCCAGATTTGCACTCTTCCAAGGATTTGTTGGATCAACCACAGCCCAATCAAAGTTTCGTAGAAACTATACCAGTTAACAATTCGAAAGATAGATAGAATAAAACCCATCTTACCTCTACAAAGATCTTGTTCAACTCCATCCATGCAATGGTCCTCCCGAGACATTTAAATCTCCCACTCCCGAAGGTCATGTCTACAACCCTAGCCATTTCCGCATATTTTGCTTCACTCACATTGAGCCATCGCTCTGGGCGGAAGCAGTCAACATCTGGCCCGAACACATTTTGACTCCGCATAAGAGCCCAGGTGTTAGTGGCGATATTAACCCCCCCAGGAACAAAAATGCCATCAATTGTATCCCCTTCTGGAGGAGTCACCTTGGACAGGAGACCCCCAGTTGGTGGGTGCATCCGAAGGCCTTCAAGAATCACTGCTTGGAGATATACAAGTTTTCGTGCTTCGTCATCACGGACAACTGGGCTACTAAGAACAGCTCCATCAATCTCCGCCTGAAGACTGTGATATGCCTGGGGTGATGTCAAGATACATAACATCGTTGCCCGGATCGCGGAGGCAGTTGTATCAGACCCGCCGAGGCTATATGCAATTAGTTAGGGCGACCATATAAACGGGCTTCATTACATTAAGAGCAGGCTTTCTGAAACTGCTTCTTCCTTGGTCAAATCGTGATTTATGAACGACTGCAAAATATCTGGTTTCTCGATTTTGAGCTTGCTCACGGGGTCGAAACGCTCTGCAACCTTTTCCTGGGCAATCCTGCTCAGAGTTAGAAAGAAATAATTCTCAAGCGCAGAGCATTGGCAAACCCGATCATCTTTCCCATTCCAATCTCATCCTCGGCAGTTGGAAATAGCCTCTTGCCAATAAATGGAATCTGAATAAATTTGTTCACTGAAGGAACGCTTCCAATCATAACAAATGCAGGTTGCGCCTCCATTGTTGTCCTGAGATAGTCATGCTGATCCGAATCGGTAGCCAAGTCTCCAAATGGAGCCCCAGTCGCAAGATCTGTAATCACATCGATTGTGAAATATTGGGCTTTTTGAGCAAGGTCCATGACTTTCATCTCCGGATAAGTCGAGATATACTTCCTTCGAATCAAATTAATGAAATTCAAGACGTGTATATCAATTTGAGGCTCGAAGTTTATGTTCTCTTTACCGGTATACTACAAGCTCTCAGTCAGTTTCAGTGAAGAGTGTGTATATTCGAGGGCTCACTCCGAGATTCATTTGCGCTCGACGCTTTGTATGGGCTTTTTCATCCCGCATTGAAAAGACATTATCAATTCCGGGTGCTAATCGAAATCCAAGGTACCAATCTGATCTCACATAAGGGGAACGGGGGGCGCTCATGCGACCGACGTGGTCTACATCGCAGGTAAGCAGGGTATTAGGTCCGATTCTGGCGAGATTCCCTAAATTGATGGCATCAGCCAATAGTTCTGGAGTTCACCGTCTATCGCTACTTGCCATATTTCTTATTGACGGCATAGAACTCGTGATGGGCTCGCTGTCGGTATATGGCTCCGAGAAGCCAAGCTTCAGAGAATTGCGCAAGCCATGGTCCTTTGACATGTGCCAGGCGACGGTAGACTCGAAAGCTTTGGGCAAGGTATGAAGCAAATAGAGCGCTAGCAATGTACCATCTCGCCTGGTACAGTATCGCGACGATGGACGTAGAGGTAGACATTTTGATTAGAGGTGTGTTGAAAGAGAAGGAAAGAGGATTGAGGGGTTCGACCTGGAACCCAGGTAATATGGAAAGCTCCACCTGGGACCACCAGGGCCAGGGCCCAGGGCCCTCCCGCTGGCCAGTTCGGTACGGTTTCTTGGGTAAAAAGAATGAGTGGTCACCGAGTGTCTGGCTATGGTGGGGGTGGATCCCCGCGTTATCCAAGATCCAATAAAAGTTACCCGAAGATAAGCACCTGAAGTGATACAGAATGGCCCCTGCTGCAGAACCGAATGCGCGGAATGCTATATGTCGCACCCAGAGAATGTATGTAATCTGATTTTATCAAAATCATGTGACCGCGTCTAGCCGAATTCAGCGAGTGCGGGAAAAGTTTGAAATCGCTCTGGCTTTGAGAGTGAGATGTATACAGAGCAAAAAGACCAGGAATTATCCATCGATTTAGCCACTGTGGCCCTCCAGAAAGGAAGGGACGGCTTGTAGGCCCCCGAATTCAGGCTATACAACTCCCCCAGAGCAATTCAGTGTGTCTCTTAAACTACACGTGGCATATATATCTCCTCTGCTTCTATCCATAAACAAGTCCCATTACGTAATATAATCAAAGCGGGGGATAATTCATGCAATACCCTAGTCGCACCATGCCGAAAGTTGAAGTCTGGCCCCGGCGGGGCAACCCGCAGAACGTGGATTTGGCAGACAGTGAGACACATGGCTTGGCACCGCGAAGCGGCCGGGAGCCGATCCAATGGGCACCACGAAAGCTCGGAAATATGGAATTTTGAGACAGGGCCTGCGATTGACCTCTTGGGGAGCCTTTGCCCGCGAACGCTAGGGGGTGGGAGAGGCGGAAAGTGATAAAGTAATTGATCCGCCCAGTGTCATTACGCTCACTCATCAAAAATATCCACAACAATCGAACGACTCGGGCAGATCGCGAATTGGGTACCAGAAACGGAAGAGAAAATGTCTGAGGCTGCCAACCAAGACAATATTCCTGGGGACACAGGTGTCGGTCCCAATCCAGAGGGGGCGCCTGCCGCACATGAGGCCGACAATGCGGATGATATTCTAGATTCTGATTTAGATGGTCCCGATGTGCTTGTAAGTTAGTTGTGCTGTGTGTTCTGAGTTGAGCTGAAAATATGTAGGATGACGGAGATTCTGGCTTTGCAAGTGAAACAGGGTATGGCGATTATTTCTAGTTCTAAAACCACGTGATGCGTTGGTTGATCATTGCCACCATAGTGAAAATTGGACCGATTCACTTGCATCGAGCATTCGGCATTACAGAAAGGCATATGGGAGGACATACCACTCGTTCAAAGAAGGAAGTGAGTACTCTGTGCCACCTTTTAGACGATTCTGAGCCCCGTCTAGAATATAATGTGCCAAACGATGAGGTGCGTTTACCCCGGAAATTTTGCCCCCTAGGATTGATGTGAAAATACAGCAAGAACAAAATCGACTTGGTAGGCTTCTTTTCATTTTGTACCTCTTTCTCTGACAAGAATTCCAGATTTGCAGAACCATCTGTTCATGCTGACATTGGGTGGAAAATTACACCTTGCCCCAATCAGCGAAAATATCCACAATTGTCTGGATATTGGAACTGGAACTGGTATATGGGCTACGGATTTTGGTGAATCGATTCAGCTCTGGTGTTAGCGTGCTTTGTTAACAGAGTGTAGCTGATGCACATCCAAATGTAAAGGTATTCTCTTTGCTCAATGCTGGATTGTGCCTTTGTTTATTATGCGTAGGTCACGGGAACAGATCTGAGTCCCATTCAGGCCACATGGTACTATGATCAGCCTGAGTGTCCAAGTAAACAACTCACATATTTTGCAGGGTCCCTCCTAACGTCGAATTTCTCATTGATGACGCAGAAGAACCATGGGCATTTCCTGAGAAATTTGACTTCGTCCATGCCCGTCAAATGGTAGGGTCATTTGCCAGCTGGCCCAAGTTTGTAGAGACTGCATACGAGTATGTGATTCCGCTATTTTTGAAAAGTTTCTTTTTAGTGACAAAACTGGCAGGGGAATCAGTCCCGGTGGGTGGATCGAGCTTCAAGACATTGGCATACTTGCAAGTGACGACCAAGATATTACCCAGACAGGGATTGATCAGTGGTACCGTACGGTCGCTAAGGCATTTGATGCCATCGGGAGAGGTGTTCAGACGGCAGAGCATCATGCGGAGATGTTGAAGGCTGCGGGATTCGAGGAAATTCATCATGAAGTGTTTAAATGGCCCCTAAACACTTGGCCTAAAGACCGAAAGATGAAGGAGATTGGCCTTTGGTCTCGGGAAAATATGCTGGATTGTCTCGAGGCTTGGTCGATTGTCCCCTTTACACAGTTCCTTGGATGGAGTTTAGAAGAGGTACAAGTGTCGCAAGCAAAGGCGAGAGCGAGTTTGCATGACACCTCGATTCATGCGTATTGGAAGATGTAGGTTTGTTGCTTCGGAGGCATTCTCGTGCTAACGCTCAGCAGCCATGTCGTGTATGGGAGGAAGCCGCTTGGAACTGCGGAAGGTGCTCAGGCCTAGTTACGCGATAAAGAGAACTTTGAGGTGGTACGGAACTTATAGAAGTCTAGATGAATGGATTATTATTCCACAGTCAATTTACTGGTTGATGTATTGGCACCACAACCAGTGATCGAGGTCGCAGACGGGGTTTGACTACAAACCATGCCCAGGTCAGTCGTCCGGCCCGTTTCGGACGCAGAGCCGGAAGGCATTGAAACAGCCTGCAAATCACGCTCAAGGGCGGAGGAGGTTTACGGACGAAGATTTGCTCATCCCGCCAGATTAAAGTTGTAGTTTTGAGCAAGTGCAGCTAGAATCTCGTCCATATTCGTAACACTTCACAACCCTCGTTGCCTTCTCAACCTTTATCAAAACCCGACATCCAACTGCCTTTATCGCAATCATCTCCTGGTCCGTCGCACTTTGCCTCTCCATCTCTAGCAATGGTGGCAGAATCCGATGGTTCATGATTGTGTCTCCGTAAGCGTTAAGCCGATGACCCCGCTTGTGAAGATCAGGGCAAATATGATCAAGTCTGAGAATAACGCCACGCTGTGGTTGCCATTCGGACTAACCAAATGCTCTTCAGGAGTGAACTTGGGGACTTCTGTGCGATATTCCGAACGCTCTGCCTGGATTACACCCATGACACGCTGTATGTTCTCCCCAGAGAGCGGTATCCTTGCTCTTTACACTCTGCCAGCTTTTCCTCCGTTGGCGCGACTTGGGAGATCATTTAGATATATCGTTCACCGACCACCTTTATTCGTTTCCCCGCCTCACGTATGCGATTCTTACGCCTTTCCTGCATGCTGTTCCAAACCTAGGGGCCTCTCAGCAACAATGTCCAAAGAGAGACTGGATTTGTTTTGGCAAGCCGTCCGCAACTTGCTAGCTGTTGTGCGGATACCGGATTTGAACGGCACCGGCTTCACGACTTGACCTTCTAACCACATCGGCCGCACAGATAAGTTATGAGGACCTCCTTCACTGGAGCCAGTGGGCTGGAGTATTTATCGTAGGCCGCCTTAGGTGAGGCCAGTGAGTCAAATAATTTAATTAATTATAATTATTAGCCGGTAATGAAATTAAATTAGGTCAGAATCGTAGTAATCAAATTATAATTACTTACTGGGTCACGTGTTATTACACGTGACTATAAAGATAATATAAGCATTATAGCGCAAAAGTAAAGCGTATTTACCCTAATTTAGATATTGCCTTTATTACGAGCACAAGATCTAGGGCCTGGAAGGCGTGGTTAGACTGTCTCTATTTCGATAATTCAAAGCTAAAGAGAGAAGAGGATCTCGAAGGAGCCTCGGATCTAAATAATCGCGAGCTATACACGGGCCCACGTGCTAGCTTAAGCCCGGGATCACGTGTAATGATCAGGTAATTACAGATGCCTCGCTCAGATGCCAGATGCCTCTCTAGCTCTAGTCTAACCCCTATTAGTACCGTATATTATAATAACCGTAATATTACTCCCTCCCTCGAAATAAGCTTATCCCCGAGCTTCGAAAGAGTCCCTATTAAATTTCTAAGTCGCAGGTCACATGTTAAAGGCCAGGGCCTTTTGCACGTGACTTTAAAGGATTTCTGTCCGTATTATGCAGTTCCGGTAGTATATTATTCTTAGTATAGTCTAACTAATAGGAGAGATTCTGGGGCGGTCCTGGCTATTCGGGGTTCTTATTATAGAAACTCTAAAGAGCTAGGACGCTATTACTTAATAAGAAAGCAGGATATTACTCCGGATCTGGGTCCTATTCTTTTTACTAAACTTAGTACTTTAGCTTCTTATAAAGTAGTTTTATTACTTATATCTCTTGAACTTCGTATTTCGTTTCCCTGTTTTATAGTTCTAATAGTAGAGGCTCCGGATTTACTTATCCAGGAAAAGAATTACCTAGATTTTTATATAGCTTCTTTATATAAAATACCAGATATATTCTTATTAATTTCGGAAGCTTGAGCCTAAAGAAATATTTTATTTATTCTAGAATTTTATATAGTTCTTTTATTTAGTAAGCTAGCTTATAGCTCAGATAATTATTCTTCTAGTACTTAGTAATAATTCATATCTTATCTCTTATTCTAAAGTTTACTAGTTAGTAGTACTTATTAGCTTAAATAGTATAATATTCTTATATTTGTATTATATTCTTTTATATCTTTTACTATAATTCATAAAGCCATATTACTAGAGCCTTTGCTTCCTATTTATTTAACTCTTTTTTTAGGGTATCTAATTATACTTGAGTTTCTTAATTAAATAATATTTGCGGTTTATAGCCTTTTTCTATAAGAAACAGGAATTGGCCTATAGTCTTATAAACTAGAGCTACTTACTAGTAGTTAATTATTATTACTTATTTGTCCTAATTATCCTAGTAATAATTTATATAGGGATATAATTATTAGTTAAAGTACTAGTTAATAATCTCTATCTAGCTATTAGTTTAGGAATAATTAGTAGTTAATAACTTGAGCTTTATACTAATATATTTATAGAACTTGCTTTAGAAATCTAATATAAACTAGGGGCCTTAATTAGATACTATAGTTTCCGGAATACTAACTTAGTAAACTATATAAGTAAGAAATAGAAGTACTAATTCTTTAGCTATTACTATATCTCGGATAGGAATTATAATAGGGCGCTTGTCTAGGTAATTAATAAAAATTACTACTATATTATACTTATTTCTACTTTTTAGGTATTTCTTAAAATCTACTAATATATATTACTAGAAGTAGTTAGGAACTAGTAATAAATATAAGAGCCCTGGCTTTTTATTTCTAGAAATATAAGATTATTAGTAAATATAATAGTTATTTCTATACTAATTAATATTTATATCTTGGCCTAGCTAGTAATAATAGGCTTAAAGAAGCTATTAAAGCTTGGCTTATTCTAGATATCCTATTAGAGGCTATATATATATCTCCTAAATAAGAGTAATATATAAGGATATCTCGAATATTATTATATTATTAGATATAAATAGTTTGCTATATTATAAAAGAAGGCTATCTTATAGTATTTAAGTGTTTTTTTTCTTATTTCTTGCCTTATCTTATAGCTCTTCTAGCTTTAGTAATTCTCGGTTCTTACTTAATAGCTTATTTACTAGCTAGATATTATTATACTAGGTTTCTTCCTGAGCTAGGCTTACTAAGGCCTTAATTAGGGCTAACTAGAGATCCCGTATAATATTATTATTAATCTTTTATTATAAGAGGAGGATTTGGGTCTAATAGGCTACTATTACCTTATTCTAAATAGCTATATTCTTATATTTCCTATTTAGGGTATTTGCTTATTTATTTAACTTACCTGCCTAATATATAAGCTTAAAATAATAGCGGGAAAGATATTTTACCTAATAAGCTTATTTTACTAAGAGCTTCTTTATAGTTATAAAGTACTCGAGAGCTTAGTAATCTAAGTAAATTATAAAGAGTACTTTCTATAGGCCTTCTAGTTCCGCTTACTATTTAGTTAAGGAAAAAATAATAATAAGTATTTTTTTATTATAAATATTATAGTTTAGTTCTATTAATTATATAGTCTTAGAAAAGAATATTACCGGGTATTAGAGTTCTATCCAGGGGTCTTACTATAAGAAAATACTAGCTATAACTTTATTTAATATATTTGTTTTAATTATAATAGGAAGGTTCGGATTATAGTAATATAGAATTAGTACCGAGAATATAGCTTGCTTTAGCTTAGTAAAACCTTTTTAATACTAGTTTATTTACTTAAATAGAACTCTCTTATATATTAGAGCTATTAGGGGCTTTATTATATGGCTATATTTTATAATAAAGTACTAATAAAAGTTATAAAAACCCAGAAAGCCTTATATTTCTTTAATTATCTTTAGTAATTACTAGTTCTTAATAACTACTATCTTATTTAGGTCTATTTTAATACCTCTAGTAAAAATAATAAAGCCTAGATATTTCATATAAGTAATCTTAAACTCTAATTTCTTAATATTTATTTAGAGGCTAGTATCTTGTAATTACTAAAGAATCTTTTATATATAGTCTTTATATTTTAGGGAATTATTTAAATAAATTAAGATATTATCTAAATAAGCTATATAAAAGATATTAAGGTAATTAAAGAGGATATTATTTATATATTTCTAATATATAATAGGGCTATTAGTTAGGCCTTCCTAAAAGACTTTATATTTATAGGCCCTATATTTCATACGGAATATTATAAGTTCTTCTAATTCTGGGTTTATTTGGATCTAATAAAATACTTATTAAATATCTAGCTTTATATAGACCTTGGCTTAAGCTAGTTATATAAGGATCTTATAAATAAGGAAAAGAGAATAATAATTCTTTTATATTAAGTTATTTAGCTTATAATAATTAATATAGAATTAGAGAGCTCTATTAGCCTTCTTTATAAAAAAAATCAGGAATATGAAAAGAAACTAGCTTGGCTTAATAAAGCCCTATTAAAGGTTCTTTTTAAAGAAATACTTGATTTCTTATAGCTTGTAAGTTAATTATTAATAAAGCAGGAAATACCCTAGGCTTTCTGGGCCTTTGGGATTATTTATCTAAATCTTATAGTTATATAATTAATATAGAAATAAGATATTTAATACTTCTTTTAAGAAAATATTTATAAATTCCTTAAACTTCTCTAATAAAACTCTTACTAGCTATTATAGCTCTATTTCTCCTAGCTATTATTTGCCCGGAATAAACTTATTCTCTTACTATAATTCTAGCTTTTTATTAATCTCGAAAAATAATATTATAAAGAAAAGGTTTTCCTTTTTTTATAGGTTTATCTAGAAAGCGGCCGGCGAGATACCTATAATATTAATTATAGGCCTTAACTAGCTCTTATAGCTTTTCTTTAAATAGTATGATTTTAATATCCCTATTTCTAGCTTAGGAGAAACTTTTATATTTCTTAAGGCTATCTATATTTCTCTATAGTATTAAGCTTAATTCTTTTACTATATATGGCTTTCTAAGCCAGGATTAGAAAGAGAATAAGAGGATTTTCTCTTTATAAACTAAGGTCTCTAGAACTTATCTATAATTATAGCTTTATTTCTTTTATTTATATTTTCTTAATACTAGTTACTTTTCCCAGATTCCAAGTTCTTATATATAATAGTTAGGACCTTATTCTAATTCTTCTTTCTAGGCTAATTATCTAGCCAGATTAATCTTTTATTCTTATAATTAATTAGGATACTAGTACTTATAAATTACTATTATTCCAAAATCATATTATATTTTCCTAGTCCTATAACTAGTATAGGTACTAGGACTTTCTATCTATTAATTAAGAATATAAGCTTAATATAGTAAGTAATAGGCACGGCCTATTTATTATTAAACTTTTTTATATTATAGGATAATACTAATTAAATAGGCTTAATATCTAGAAATTATTTAATTATTCTTATAAATTTGAAATTAATAAAAATATATCTATTTACTCCGGTATTAATAAAAAAAGAAGTCTTAATATCTAATTTATTATTATTAATTATATAAGAAAGTATAAATACTTTATTTCCTAATAGCTAGCTTAAATTAACTTTTATTATATTTATATAATATAGCCCTAAAAAGAAAACTTTTTTTAGAAGTTCTTATTTCCCTATTTTATATCTTTAGATAGCTTATTTATAGTAAGTACTACTAGCTTAGTTACTAAGACTTATTTTATATATTTAGTCTTAGGCTCTAGATAGCTTCTAGATATATAACTAAATCTATTATAATTATAGTATTTGAGATCTAAGAATTCGGGCTTTAGGGTAATAGGCTTATTTATTACTAGAGTTTTGGAAGCGGGCTTTATATAAGAAGTACTTCCTAAACTTGGCTTATTTATATCTTTATTAGCTTTCTTAAATACCTAGTCTTTCTTTTTATAATAAGCTCGGATCTACTAGTTATTTATAATATAATATTATATAAACTCTATAATATAAATAGCCGGGTTATTATAGTATATAGCTATAGCCTTTTAGAGCTTCTAGGTAAGCTTATTATTTAGGTTATTCTTAAGGTTTTATGAGTTAATATTTCTGTTTATTATATATTTTAGAAATAAAATATAGAATTCCTAAAAGATCTAATTCTTTTTTATAAATAGCTTTTTAAAAGCTTACTAAGTATTATATTCCTTATTTAGGTTACTATATAGCTTTTCTAAGTAAGTATATAGTTCTCTAATAATCTTATATATATATATTAATTATTTTAGTTTAGGTAAAAGAAAATTAATATAAGGATATAGCTATTTATATAGCCGGAAATATAAATAATCTTAAGGTTCTTTATCTAGTAAGTATTAGAGTTACTATAAAGCTTATTCTTAATCTAAACTAACTAATTATTAAAAGTAATACTATTCTTAGTTATATCTTTAAAGATAAGAGAATTAGGGAATTTAATTAAATATTTACTTTCTAGAGCAGGAAAACCGGTTATTTCTATAGGCTATATAATAAGCTTTTTAATAATAGCTTTATTCTTTTATAGGACTTATTTGGTTTCTCTTAGCTAATTATAATAATTCTTGCTATAGGCAAGAATATTATATATCTTTAGAATTAGCTTAATAATTTCCTTATATAAAGCCTCTGGGCTTTAGAATAACTCTTGGAAGTCCGCTTTTAATAGAGCAGGTTCTTCTTCTTTCTTAGCTCTCTAAAAGAAAGTATCTCTCTTACTATTAGTATTAATAAAATATTTAGACTTTTTAAGAGACTTAATAAGAGGCTCTGGTCTATTTTCTAGTAATATACTAGTAGTATCTTATATTATAGCTTCTTCTAACTTGCCTAGTTATTCTGGAACTTGCTTTCTTATAGGTCTTTATTTAGTAATAAGATTACTAGCCTATCCGCTTACCTGGCTAGTCCAGGGCTTTCTTATCTAGTTATTCTAGGGCTTTCTTTTATTCTAATATTAGTTAACTAGTATAGGAGTAGCTATGGTATATTATATCTATACTTATTAAAAACCGATCGGGTAGGTATTATTTAAATCCTCTATAGAATTAAGAAATAGAAGAGCTTTGAATTATATTACGAGTATAAGATCTAGGGCCTGGAAGGTATGGTTAGACTATCTCTATTTTAATAATTTAAAGCTAAAGAGAGAAGAGGATCTCAAAGAAGCCTCGGATCTAAATAATTACAAGCTATATACGGGCCCACATACTAGCTTAAGCTCGGGGTTACATGTAATAATTAGGTAACTATAGATGCCTCGCTCAGATACCAGATGCCTTTCTAGCTCTAGTCTAACCCCTACTAGTACCATATATTATAATAACCATAATAGCCTTATTATTATTATAGGCTTAATAGCTAGTATCCCGCCTTTACTCGCTTTACTTATCTTTGTAAATAAGTACTATAATAGGGGTTTTGACTTCTCTAGTTACGTGAGTACGGTTATATAATATCCAGAGCAAATAATTCACATATATATTACCTTGTTCTCCTTCTTTCTTCTTTGGAAATCAATTAATATTTACTCTCTTTATGCTTTAGTCATATATTATTTAAAGAAAAAGAAGAGAATTTATTACTTATATAACTTTTATATGGATTTCACGTGATAATTAGAAATAATTAACTATATGTAATTATAATTTTTCTAATAATTTTTTTTTTTTTAGAAAGTTAATAAACAAATTGTAATTAATTATTTACTTGATTTAATTAAATATAATTAATTACCTTAATTATTTTTTTAACACACTGGGTGAGGCTAAAGAAGGGCCATGCCTCCTGTCCTGCGCTATCGAATATGATAATAACTCTCAGGTCAGGCCTGTCTCCGGTCAATTTGTCTAACGCCTTGGGTAAATCAAGACACCTGTACGGAAATGAATTGAATATATTCAAGAATCTTACCACTGTCTATATAACCCAGCCGTTGAGCTTTCGAAATCGAACATTCTACAACTGATCCTGCCATTATGTAAATAAGCGGCGGTTTAAAGGAAAACAAGGCAGAGAGACGTAGCATGACATAAAATGACATTCACTAGTGGAGGAAGAGGGGCCTAGACAAAGTTCAAAATAGCTTTTGCTATTGACTCAAGATTCTCGTAAAGCTTAACCCCCTTTAATATAATCCGTGTAAGGCATATTCTCTGTTATACGTAAGTTAGGGTTGTCGCGTGTGTCATTACATGCAACCTGCGAATGAACAAAGCTCCATGTACAATACAACGTGTTCGCTTTATGAATGTCCCCGAAAACTAGATACAGGACGAGCCCCAAACACCACAAGCCTGCCGAAGGGGAATTGACTCACCTGATCCCCGCATGGCTTCGAAAATGTTGGAACTAGGTGTACGCTGGTACACGGTAGTTTATATACTGGATGTATATATAGAGTGCTTACCCCGCGTGAGCTGAGAAATCAAGTCGTCAACCTCCAAAACATTGCAACAGAAAAGGAATGTTCTATGCTATTAATCATAGCCTCACCACGACCGATCCTCAACCCTCCTTCCGAGTCAACGTAACAATCCGGAGAGATATTCAGCCTGACCTTTAACACCACATAAGCTACAAGTAGCTTACCCCGGATCGAAACGCGTAGTTTGGATCACCTGCAATCGCTCCCTCTTTCGCTTTTGATCCACGTGCTGCAGCAACGGCGGGCACAAGAAGGCCGCCAGTTAAACAAAATAGGGGTAAGACTTGAATGTGCTGCATATTTGAGAGAGGAGACGATGGAGAAGGCTGTCGAAGAACTAACTTGTTATGTAACCGGCCGTGGATCTATCGCAACAAGGTCGTTATTTACTTGATTTATGCTTAAAGCATATATAATTTTTTGTAACATGTTATCCAATACGTAATTAATAACTTGAATATTATAATTACGCCTGACATTACTATTATATAATATAAATAATTATAATTTTGATGTTTATACTATTGAGTTAGTAGTATACTAGCATGAGTAGCCTATTATTCCTTTAAGTACTAGGTTTTAGTTATTTTTATTCTTATTTGTTGTGCGTTACTTGCGGAGCTTATTAATGCCCACTAATATAGTTCGTCATTTGATTAATTAGCTGATTCGTAATGCACACCTTACCTGATTTGTAATATACGGAGAATAGTGATTTTGAACACCTACACTGCTAGATCTAATGGGCATAAGAACGAGGCTTTACACTCTCCTCTCTCTCGTTTTTCACTTCACTCTGCCTATATCTTAGTTATTTAGGCCTTGCCAATCATTAATAATATCGGTTTGCACCTCCAAAATTGCTCCCATCGCAATAATTACCTCGCCAACGGGTCGGAGACATTCCCACAGAATTCGCGAGCGCACCAGGAGTCGCTATTCGTAAACTGGACATTTTCCCAGGGGCGCGCAGACGCCGTCAATAGCAAATCCCGGCACCCCGGGAGGGGGGAATCAATGCAAACAAAAACCGAGCGATGCCTCTTGCTCCTGGGACTGATTTTCGCACGTTCATTCCCCCCACACCATCTCAGACACGAGAGCATATGGCTTCTTCAGCTGTAATGTTCCGGATGGCTGGCCGCAATTGCATGGCGCTTCTCCTATTGGCTGCGCTTTCTCCGATCGCCAGCCACGCGGCAGATTGTGGCGACGCCAACAGTATCAAGTCGCTCGATGCCCTCAACAACAGCGTTAACGGTCGCATTCATGTCAACGCGCCGTTCTCACTACCGTGCTTCTCCAGCTATGAAGGACGGGCTGTCGAGCCTGACGCGGCTGCTTGCCAGGCCGTCCAGGATAACTATGCGTCGCCGACGTTCCTCACGGAGTACCCTGGCGCCTATATGAACTATCAGGATTCGATGTGTTCTTCTGACCCCACCAACCAGTGCGTCCTCGACAATACCAACCCTGCGGATCCCTTGGCATACGTTGGCAAGGACTGCAGACAGGGCGACATCCCTTCGCACTACCTCGAGGTCATGGATGTATGCGACATCCAAGCCGCTTTCAGCTTCTCTCGGTCCTCTGGGACTCCCGTCGTCGTCAAGAACAGCGGCCATGACTATCTGTCCCACAGCAGCCAGAAGGGCGCGCTGGCACTGCGGACTCGCCACCTGCAGAAGCTCGAATACCACCATGCCTTCGTCCCCGAGGGCTGTTCCGCAGGTGAGGGTGACAAGTACTTGGCCATCACCACCGGAGCTGGTGTCAACTGCGACCAGGCATACGGCTTTGCTGACGAGAACAACGTGACGATCCTTTGTGCCTACTCCGAGACTGTCGGAATTTCTGGAGGCTGGGTCCAGACTGCCGGTCACTCCGTCTTATCGCCCGTGTATGGTCTCGGAGTCGACCGTGTCCTCGAGTTCCACGTCGTAACTCCCAACGGCCAAGACCTCATCGCCAACGCCTGCCAGAACCAGGACCTCTTCTGGGCTCTCCGTGGCGGCGGCGGCGGCACGTTCGGCGTCGTCATGAAGTCGACCCATCTTGTTGAGCCTCGCATCCCGATGGTCACGGCCAACATCGCCTTCACCTCCAACTCAACGACCCTGCTTGAGTGGATGGCCATAATGCTCGAGGAGGCAGCACCGTGGGCTGACGCTGGCTGGGGTGGTCACATCACCGGAAGCTCCCTCATCTATGTCAACCCAATTCTATCGATGGACGCGGCTAAAAAGTCTATGAAGAAGGCTTCTGATTACGCTACCAGCCATGGCGGCAGTGTTGTCTTCAAGCACTTCGACTCGTTCTACGGCTTCTACGAGGAATATGTCGTCACCAACGCCGCAACCGTTGGGAACACCCGCCTCCCCGGTAGCCGACTGATTCCTCGCTCTGTCCTTGACAGTGAAGACGGTCGCAAAGCTCTAATGGGCTTCCTGGAGGGCATTATTGCGGCTGGCAACAGCCCGTATGTGCCCGTCACCATGCCAACAGTATATAAACCAGACGGCGACAACACCACTTCCACTACACCTGCTTTCTACTCCTCGCTCTGGGAGCTGGGTATAGGCTCTACTTGGGCCTGGAACAGTACACTCGAACAGCGTCTGGTAGCTGTTGAGGGGCTCAACAACAAGACTGCTCAACTTGAGGCAATCACTCCTGGCGGCGGCGCCTACATGAACGAAGCCAACCCTTTCACACCCGGCTGGCAGGAGGCGTGGTGGGGCAAGGAAAACTATGCCTCGCTCCTCGCGATCAAGAACCGCTACGACCCTGATCGCCTGCTTCGTTGCTGGCGCTGTGTCGGCTGGGAGGAGTCTGATGTTCAGGACTCTTGCTTTAAGGCATTCAACAACTAGTTTCATAGCACTATATAGAGAGTCACTGTGCTATATTTAGGTAGATATATTTTGCACGTGCTACCGAGCACATTATTAAGTAGGCACTGCTATAGATTAAAGAATCAAAATTGCAAACAAGAGGACTAAAAAGCGTATAATGCTTCTAACTCTGTAGCTCAGGTAAACCGTGCGCGCGGGCGTCCTAAACACACCGCTTATTCTTTTAATAATAGTAGCATCCACCAAAGTAGCTAGGTTAAAAGCGAAGCACTAAGAGTAGAACTAGCTATAAGGCGCAATTGATTAGATAGATTTCTTAATATGCTTTAAACTGTTTTAAGTCTTCGTAAAATAATTCACTTAAGATACTGAGAGTGGGATAATGGTTGAGAATGTCCTGATCTAGGGACGAGGTACCTTGCACAACTCGGAGGGTACAGTCCGTGGATGACTATTAACTTTTCAGACGAGGACACACTCACTCAAATCTCCTCTACAAGACTGGAATAGTGGTACAGTGAAACAAAAACAAAGCAGTAGCCATTTGCAGTTGAACAAGTCCCGCGGATTAATACATTGCTAATTTGATCTTTTAGGACCTCGGCAAGAGGTGCTCTGTCTAGTAACTCCGAGCAATGAGAGAATAAAAATACAGGCAAGAATGCCATATGTGAGAGAAAATAAACATCAGTATCCAGAATCGTGAGACCAAAAAACAAGGCTATGCTCCCGAAATCCAATAAGAATCCCCAACCCCGATCTTGTTGTTTCTATTTTTTGAGCCCCTCCCATGAGAACCAAAGCTTGCTTGAATCAGACCGTAAAACATGGTATCGCTAGCGATATCAGAATCAACTCGTGGGTGCTCTACGCGCAAGCCCCAGTACCCTTGTCGATGGCGCTAGACTACCTCCGCCACCTTCCACGAACTCCGGCGTAAGTAGTCCTCTCCTCACGACCGCGACCTCGTCATCCTTGACGAGCAACAGGTCTCCATTCCTGGTTACTTTCATGCTCAAATCCAGGTCATTCCTCGTGCTCAGCCAATCTGCGGGGAAGAAAAAGTACCGCACGAAACGGTTCGTTTTGGCGGTCTCCTTGTCGGCAGCGCAGACCCATTGGCTACCATGCAGGAAGACTAAGCGCTGCGACTGTCCAGATATAGCGCAAGTATTTCCGATGAGGACTTCAGCGTCATCGGATAAAGCATGGTAACTTGGAACCGGAACTGCGGAAGTCGACAAGGCAGTGAAATCAGATGTGCTCCAGAGCACGAGCTTCGATTTTGAATTTGGTTGATTGGACTCCCTGAACATGGTGGCGAGAACTGTGCCGTCAAAGCAAGGCGTGATTGATTGAATTGAAAGTTCGGGTATGATTTTCCCTTCTAATTCAATTCCACTCTCTCCTGTAATTCTCTGTAATGTCTGCCAGTCATGGATATGGGCCTTGTGATGCGTTATGACAATAAGCTGATCACGGTTATGTGGATGGTTTGTCCACCGGTATGGCTCACGGTCTTCGTAATAAGTGGTTGCCAGGAGGGTATTGTCATCCGATGATATAGACCAAAGCATATCAGACTTGGCCGAACAGATAAGAATGCGTTGTAGTCCAGGTTGGCAGACGACTTGACCCACCGCCACATGCGTTCGATAGTCAAACAGGACCTGATTCGCTGACATAGAATGACTTTGACGTATCAATCTATGGATCATGGTCCTACTTGATGCATCAACGCTGATGATTGTCTGGCTTTGGTATTCAAAGTGAAGGAAATCAATTGAAACCCCGTGGGCATGGCAGAAAAGCTCTCCAATAGGCAGGCCCGAATCAATAGCGTAGACGTGAACAGAGCCGTCTTCTTTGCCGACAAAGAACGCTTCGCCAGTGTCGTCACATGCGATTGATGTGATCAAGATCGCGTTTTCAGAAAGTGTTGAAGAGGTTCCTTGTGGGCTTTTGGCATCACCCGCAACACCTCTAAATTCTTGCTGCGAATCCTCCGTGACCAGATCAGTCAAGTCCCAAACCCGGCACCGCGACCCTCTGATGTCAAGCAGACGCAGGCCGTCTTGGCTGAAGGCAAGATTCTGGATTCCAGGTTCAACAGAACTAATTCGATAAATTAGTTGCAAAGTCTCCAAGTTGAAAAGTTGAATCGTTCCAGCTGGGTCAGCCGTAGCTAACATACAGCCATCGGCCGAACAGGCGAGAACGTGAGCAAATGCCACAATCCGTTTTTTGACCTCACCAGTGGAGGTATCAAAGAGCACTAGTTCTCCATCTGTGTACGCACATGCAAGGAGGTGTGCATTGGACGCGTTACCAAAAATCAGGCACCGTACTCCAGATGAGCCATACGGTCTTCCCAAGCTTTCAGCTATTATGCCAGACTCCCGACTATAGAGAGCTAAAAGCTCATCAGAAGCAATGCGCCATAACAAGATGTCCTGACCTTTATATATGACCGCCAAGAGCCCGCAGTCGATGCCAAACGCGGCGGCAGTTGGGCGTCGATAAAGTCGAATTGTCATGGCTTCTAGGCCTCGGGTCCAATCAACCGCCTCTGGAGGGCCTCCAGTGTTGAGATCCCAAAATTTCAAGCGATGGTCCTTCAAAGCTCCCAGGAGAAGTCTGTCTTCATCGTCAAGCGACAGCTCCATACATTGCTGAGGTGCTTCGAACACATGCAGTCGGGATTTGGACTCAAGGTCCCATACGCAAATAGATTTTGAGCCTGCCGAAACGAGTATGTTCTTTACCTCGCCAAATACCAAGATTCTTACAGGCTCACCATGTTCAAGAGTAGCAATATTTTGACAAGTCGTTTGTTTAAAGAGGAATATTTTACCACTAAAACATCCAACTGAGAATTGCGTCTTGGAACATGCGAGGCTCGAGTATTGTTCAAGCATGTCAACGACTGTAGCCAGGCAATCATCCCATGTCTCGGCCCGTAGTCCGCGAACGGTAATACTACGAGCTAATGAGCCGAATTGCTTACGCAGAGCAGTCGCTGATGGGCAAAATGGCGGGATGAGATGGTATATGGATCCTGGATATGCTTCGAGATTTTTACCGAACTGCATCACTAGTCGTACCAAATCAGTCGCCCAGGAGCTTAGCAATGCTACGTCTGCAGATGTTGATGATGTCTGGTCGGGACTGTCTTGAAGAAATGTGCCAAGAGCTTTGCCAGCTTCAACCAAGCGTTGTTGGTCAGAATGCTTCGCAATGTACTCAATCCAGTGCAGGACGCTGGGAGATCTGAAAAATCCCGCCAAACTGAGTAAAACGTCTCGATCAGTCGACGTTGCATGTGATATATGTTCACACAAGGAATTGGAGGCGTAACTGACGAAAGCAGACTCTTCTCCAGATATGCTATTAGCACTGGATCTCCTGCGCTTTGGGCCTTTCATTGGGTTACTATTGAGGTATCGTAAACCAGTCAACAATAGGCGACGATGGCCGTCTCTCTCGTTGATTGAAAACTCCGAATTTGTGCCGGCATTGAGAAGAAATTGTCGAGCAGACAGATGAGTCATTTGTACCTGGCCGTTTGCATCTATGTCGACTAGTTGCCCACAACAGGACCGTATTGAATTTTCGAGGCCGTCGATTGATACCTTGAGGTCCAGTTGAAGAGCCTCGTGAAGCTCCTGAACTTTTAATGGGCGGGTAGAGCACACTGTCCATGTAAGAATGGCTTTCGCAAGCTCTTTCCCGTAAGAGGCTTTTGACATGATGTCCAAAATCCGAGCATACAACTCATTCATGTCTGTAGGAACCTCGTCCAGAATTCTTTGTTTGTCCGTAGACGTGTGTACATTCCGGAGCTCCTGAACAACTATGCTCACCCACAGGAAGCATCCCCTCGACTTCTCGAGGATCTGGCGGACAATAGATTGCCGGCCATCTCCATCAACGGAAGGGAGAGCATCCATATTTGCATGGAGATACATCGTGATGTCGGACTTGCTATCTTGCTCAAGAATGCCTTCAGAGAGCACTCTGACTTTGGACTCGCCTAATTTTTGACGAGATTCGAATTGATTCCGAGAAGTTACAAAGATGTGTACGGAAGATACCTCGGCCGCCTTCATAAGCAAAGCAATGACTTCTACCTCGTTCTTGCATTCGTCCAAAGCATCAATCACCCAATAGTGAACGTGTTCGCAGGGGGTCTTGAAAATACCGTCAAGAAATAATTTGCGCCAGATAGTACGGTAGTCGTTCTTTAAATGGCCGTCTCTCTCAAGAATTTGGAGACAAGTGTTCAGAATCCTCTCGTTAGAGTCAGCCATCTGCCACGCTATAGACAGTAGAAACGAGGTGACGGTCGCCTTCTCTTTTGTGTCATACCGGAAGAAGTAGAAACTGCATCGTTTTTCGAGTTTTCTGAGGTGTGCGATAACTTTTCCACTCAAGATAGTTTTGCCTGTTGCCGGTTTTGCCGTGATAGAATAAATCGGCGAGTTGGCATAGTGAACCCATTCTTGAAAATTTTCCTTGCGGATCAACCACTCGAGAGACCCATCCATACGGTGACTATCCGCACTCATGAAATCATCCTCAGGTGCTTCGGATACTCCTAACAAAATAGCGAGCTGCCGCCGTCGGTCTTTGCTAACCTCTCGTCTAGATGATGTAAAGCGGTCTCGCAAGATAGCCAAGACTGAAACAAGTGCGTTCTTGAATATGAGGTAGTTGGGGTCGCTTCGAGAAATGTACTTGCAAATGCCGCGATGGTCCGCATTCAGGTATGCTCTGCGTTCGTTTGCGTATCCCATTGTTGCCAGATCTCTCTCCACAACAAAGCTCTTTCTGATAGCGAAATTTGTAGGAATTGTCTCATAGAACGAATACAGCAGAAGCTTGTGGCAACAGTCAGGAAACTCTTCGTTAATGGACTGGAGAGCTTCGGAATTGCGATTGAGATCGGTGACAAAAGGCCGCTGTCCGCCCGTCAAGCTGAGAAGTTTTGAAAGAACCTGAGCACAATCGGATCCTCGATGGGGTGTAGCCAGGAAGAGTATGCCCTGAATTCGGGATGCTAGCGACGCATAGCCCTGCTTTGCTGCCGCCAAGAGATATGCTCGTTTTATAACAAGACCGCCCATACTGTGACCGACCAACACAAGAGGAGCCTAATTAAGAATGAGTAGTTGATCTCTAAGATATAAGCCACTGTAAACGACAGAAATGCCATGACTCTCGCACTGAGTCTAGGACATCAGTTCTTGAAAATCGGGATCTTCTTGGGCTCGAGCACCTGGAAGCGGAAGTTACTGTAGGAAAATGCGATACTGGAATTGATCATACGAAAGGAAAAAGAACGTGCCTTTGTGTCACGAGGGATGAATGGGCAATCGAGAATCGAATTGAGCAGGCCATTTGCGAAGTCGTGAATGCTCAGAATGCTCTTTTTGCCCCAATCCGAGTCGTAGCCGAAACTATGGATTCTGACATCTTGCAAAGCTTCGTCGTCCGGCAGCCACTCCTTCGGCCAGTAGAGTGACGGGTCACCTGATTTGGTCCATGTCTTTCGTGATCCTCCCCCAAGACCGTGGACGAAAATCAGATCGGCGTTTGCGAAGCCGTCTGCTGGGGCGGACAAGGTATTCAGTCCCAACGGACCGAGCTTGTCCTCCGGGGAGGGGCTTTCGCCTCCACCAGGGAGCCAACTCCGCGTGGAAGACAGAAAAGAACGACCATTAGAGGACGGACGGGACTTGAGATCCATCGTCCATATTCTGAAGCAGGGGCTGGCGTGAATACTCCATGCGATACCGGAAGCCCCACTTCAGGTACATTCCCAGCATGCGGATGTTTGGTAGTGCAAACCACCGAGTACAGAGCACTGCTAGTGCGGGTCCTATATAAGTCGTGGGACCGGCAAGACACATCCGTCTGCGGCTACAGCCGCCTCCGCATGGTGTGTCTGGCGACCATCTTCCATCTCTGCGCGCCATTCATTCCGGTGAGGTGAAGAGAGAGAGCTCCTTGGCAGCACCACGACCCGTCTTTCCAGTCGTTGATTCGCTCCCAGCGGTCCCAGATGAAACTCGGGGAGAAGAAGCAAGGCCGCGAGTGGCTGGGTGTGCGATGTGCGTGGCAAGCAGACACTGGCACGAAAGTGGTGTAACCTTACGGGGGCACCAACCCCTTGGATGCTCATCATCGGCCAAGACAGTCATGTAGCCCTACCTACCGATGTATGACGTGGCAAACGTTACCGAACCTCACTACAGTCGGGCGTACTGAGGTTTCTTGTTACGCAAGCGAAAGCCAGCCCTGTTGGGGCCGACCTTAACTCCTAGACTAGGTTACTCCAGGGGACCGAGCGTAATTGCGCGATTCTACCGGAAGCGACTGCTCTAGCGCCAAAAATAGATGCGGCGCCAATCCTCAGGCATCAAATCACGCAAACTAGGCTCTTTTTAGGATAGCTAATATAAAATCGAATTGCAACCAAAAAACAAAGCTATAAACCCCTCCCAAAAACAGACTTTTATATAATATATATAATACTTAAAAGATTAATATTATTACCGGAATTAAGTATAATAAGTATATGTAATAATATATAAGTAAATATTAGATATTATAAATCTGATTTCCTATTTTAGGTAATACTTATATTAAAATTATATGAATTATACGGAATTATATTTTTTAATTAAATAAAGGGCTTTATATGCTTGGGCAAGTACTAGAAAATATATAAGAAGATACTTATAGCTTTAATTAAAAGTATTAATTAGTTTTTTATTAAAATTAATTTTTATAAATTAATTATATTTATAAATATTATTTTATAATATACTTGCCTTAATTATTTATATATTATCTTACTATTATATATCTTATATTCTAATTAATTTAATCTTTAAAAAGCAATTTATTACGAGATAATTAAGCTATTAATAAATAAAATTACTAATAATTAAAATATTAACTATTACGATTATTATAATATATAGTACTAGTAGGAATTAAACTAGAGCTAGTAAGATATCTGGTATCTGAGTATAATATCTATAGTTATTTAATAATTATATATAACCCCGAGCTTAAACTAGTATATAGGCCCGTATATAGCTTATAATTATTTAAATCCGAGGCTTTTTCGAGATCCTCTTTTCTTTTTAGCTTTAAATTATTAAAATAGAAATAGTTTAATTATATCTTCTAGGCCCTAGATCTTATATTTATAATATAATTTAAAGCTTTCTCATTTCTTAATTCTATAAAGGATTTAAATAATACCTATCTAATTAGTTTTTAATAAGTATAAATATAATATATTATAGCTATTTCTATACTAGTTAACTAATATTAGAATAAAAGAAAGCCCTAGAATAACTAGGCAAGAAAGCCCTAGACTAGCCAGATAAGTAAATAGGCTAGTAACCTTATTACTAAATAAAGATCTATAAAAAAGCAAGTCCCGGAATAACTAGATAAGTTAAAAGAAGCTATAGTATAAGATACTACTAGTATATTACTAGAAAATAGACCAGAGCCTCTTATTAAGTCTTCTAAAAGATCTAAATATCCTATTAATATTTATAATAAGAAAAATACTTTTTTTTAAAAAGCCAAAAAAGAAAAAGAACCTGCCCTATTAAAGGCAAACTTTTAAGAATTATTCCGGAATCCAGAAGCTTTATATAAGGAGATTATTAAACTAATTCTAAAGATATATAATATTCTTACCTATAATAAGAATTATTATAATTAGCTAAGAGAAACTAAATAAGTTCTATAAAAAAATTAAGCTATTATTAAGAAGCTTATTATATAGCTTATAGAAATAACTAGTTCCTTTATTTTAGAAAATAAATACTTAATTAAACTTCTTAATTCTCTTATTTTTAAAGATATAACTAAGAATAGTATTACCTTTAATAATTAGTTAGTTTAGATTAAGAATAAGCTCTATAATAACTCTAATACTTATTAGATAAAGAACTTTAAGATTATTTATATCTCTAGCTATATAAGTAATTATATTCTTATACTAATCTCTTCTTACCTAAACTAGGATAATTAATATATATATAAGACTATTAGAGAACTATATATTTATTTAAAGAAGCTATATAATAACCCGAATAAGAAATATAATATTTAATAAGTTTTTAAGAAGCTATTTATAAAAAAGAACTAAACTTTTTAGGAATTCTATATCTTATTTCTAAGATATATAATAAATAAAAATATTAACTTATAAGACCTTAAGAATAACTTAAATAATAAGCTTATTTAGAAGCTTTAAAAGACTATAGCTATATACTATAATAACCCGGCTATTTATATTATAGAGTTTATATAATATTATATTATAAATAACTAGTAAATCTAAACTTATTATAAAAAGAAAAACTAGATATTTAAAAAAGCTAATAAAAATATAAATAAGCTAAGCTCAAGAGGCGCCTCTTATATAAAGCTTGTTCCTAAAACGCTAGTAATAGATAAGCCTATTACTTTAAAGCCCGAATTTTTAGATCTCAAGTATTATAATTATAATAGATTTAATTATATATCTAGAAACTATCTAGAGCCTAAGATAAAATATATAAAGCAAGTCTTAATAACTAAGCTAGTAGTACTTACTATAAGTAAGCTATTTAAAAATATAAAATAGGGAAATAAGAATTTCTAAAAGAAGTTTTCTTTTTAGGGCTATATTATATAAATATAATAAAAGTTAATTTAAGCTAGTTACTAGGAAATAAAGCATTTATATTTCCTTATATAATTAGTAATAATAGATTAGGTATTAAGACTTTTTCTTTTATTAATACCGGAATAAATAAATATACTTTTATTAATTTCACTTATAAACTTATATAAGAATAATTAAATAATTTCTAGATATTAAGCCTATTTAATTAATATTACCCTATAATATAAGAGAATTTAATAATAAATAAGCTATATCTATTACTTACTATATTAAGCTTATATTCTTAATTAATAAATAAAAGATTCTAGTACCTATATTAGTTATAAGGCTAGGTAAATATAATATAATTTTAGAATAATAATAGTTTATAAATACTAATATCTTAATTAATTATAAGAATAGAAAATTAATTTAGCTAGATAATTAGCCTAGAAAAAAGAATTAGAATAAGGTCCTAACTATTATATATAAAAACTTAGAACCTGAAAAAAGTAACTAGTACTAAGAAAACATAAATAAAAAGAATAAAGCTATAATTATAGATAAGTTCTAGAAACCTTAGCTTATAAAAAGGAAACTTCCTTATTCTTTTTTTAAGCCGGGCCCAGAAAGCCATATATAATAAAAGAATTAAGCTTAATATTATAAAGAAATACAAGTAGTTTTAGGAAATATAAAAGTTTTTCTTAAGCCAGAAATAGAAATATTAAAATTATATTATTTAAAGAAAAGCTATAAGATCTAGTTAAGGCCTATAATTAATATTATAGGTATCTTACTAGCCGCTTTCTAGATAAATCTATAAAAGAAAGAAAACCTTTTCTTTATAATATTATTTTTTAAAATTAATAAAAAGCTAGAATTATAATAAGAAAACAAGTTTATTTTAGGCAAGTAATAGCCAGAAGAAATAGAGCTATAATAGCTAATAAAAGTCTTACTAAAAAAGTTTAAGGATTTTATAAATATTTTCTTAAAAAAAGCCTTAAATATTTTATTCCTATATTAATTATATAATTATAAGATTTAGATTAATAATTCTAAAGACCCGGAAAGCTTAGGATATTTCCTATTTTATTAATAATTAATTTATAAGCTATAGAAAATTAAGTATTTCCTTAAAAAGAATCTCTAATAAGGCTTTATTAAGCCAAGCTAGTTTCCTTTTATATTCCTAATTCTTTTTATAAAAAAGACTAATAAAGCTCTCTAATTCTATATTAATTATTATAAGCTAAATAACTTAATACTAAAGAATTATTATTTTCTTTCCCTTATTTATAAGCCTCTTATATAACTAGCTTAAGCCAAGATTTATATAAAATTAAATATCTAGTAAATATTTTATTAAATTCAAATAGATCTAGAATTAGAAAAACTTATAATATTTTATATAAGATATAGGGCCTATAAATATAAAGTTCTTTTAGAAGGCCTAACTAATAGTCCTATTATATATTAGAGATATATAAATAATATTCTTTTTAATTACCTTAATATTTTTTATATAGCTTACTTAAATAATATCCTAATTTATTTAGATAATTCCCTAAAATATAAAAAGCATATATAAAAGATTTTTTAGTAGCTATAGGATATTAACTTCTAAATAAATATTAAGAAATTAGAGTTTAAAATTACTTATATAAAATATCTAGGCTTTATTATTTTTACTAGAAATATTAAAATAGATCTAGATAAGATAGTAGTTATTAAAGACTAATAACTGCTAAAAATAGTTAAGGAAATATAAGGCTTCCTGAGTTTTTATGACTTTTATTAGTATTTTATTATAAAATATAACTATATAATAAAGCCTCTAATAACTCTAATATATAAGGAAGTTCCGTTTAAGTAAATAGATTAATATTAAAAAGGTTTTACTAAGCTAAAGTAAGCTATATTCTTAGTACTAATTTTATATTACTATAACTCGAACTTCCCTATTATAATTAAAACAAATATATTAAATAGAGTTATAGCTAGTATTTTCTTATAATAAGACCCCTAGATAGAACTCTAGTATCCAGTAATATTCTTTTCCAAGACTATATAGCTAGTAGAGCTAAACTATAATATTTATAATAAAGAAATACTTATTATTATTCTTTCCTTAACTAAATAGTAAGTAGAGCTAG